CCCCCGCCGTTCTCGTGGTTTGCAGGGTGGTAGGGGGGAGCCCAGGTGGGCTCAGGGACGGAGATCTCACAGTTTTTGCCAGTGAAACGGTCAGGACACAAGCAGTCGTAGTCGTTGATGCGGTCATAGCACTTTGCCCCGTTTCTACAGGGCTGGCTGGCGCAGTCGTTGATGTTGATGGTGCAGAAACGCCCTTCGAAGCCCACCTGGCACTGGCAGGAGAAGCGGTTGATCCCGTCGTGGCAAGTGGCACCGTTGGCACAGGGACGCATCAGGCAGTCGTCCACGTCGTTTTCACAGAGAGCCCCCACGAAGCCAGCGAGGCACCGGCAGGTGAAATTGCTGGCAAAGCCGTTTTCATCTTGACACTGCCCCCCGTTCCTGCATGGAGACCTGCATGGAGAGAGCAAGGACAGGTCATGGCCCTGGAGAGCAGGCAGCTTCCCCCGCCCCAGGGAGGTGAACACACACAGCTGTGTGTGCCTGCTGGGTCCGGAACCGGCTCTCTGCATGGGGGCAGCGATCTCAAGGAAAAGACTGAGCAGGAGTTTCCACCTTCCCGAGCAAGAGGCTGTGGGACCTCCCCAAGGCTGTGGCTGTGCATGGACCCACCACCCACCAGGGAGGGTCTTCAGCCAACGTGCCCTCCTGATGCTCCCCAAAGGCATGAGGGGTGTCAGCTCATCACACCTACAAAGGCGAGGGATGGGAATCTGTTCAGATCACAAGAAAGACCTTGCCCTGGCGGGAGCACAAAGCTAAACCAAAGCCAAAAGTGGTTTTGGCTGAACTCCATTACCGCGTGGAAGTCTACAGATAACGAGCCAAGCTGGGCCACCGCTTGGCAGTGGGCGACCCGAAGCTCATGCTGTGTGTAATCTCGCTGCCGTGTCTAGTCTCACCCTGCCTTCTCACATGGGCCCGTCTTCATCTCACAGTCCTTCCCGTGGAAGCCTTCTGGACACAGGCAGGAATATTCCCCGTCCCGATCGTAGATGCACTGAGCCCCGTTCTGGCAGGGGGACTGGCGTTCGCAGATGTGTATGTCTGAGGGGGAAGAAAAGGGTGGGAATTAGTGAGAAAAGAGGGGTGATGTGGCCAATTCAGTTCAAACACAGCCCATCAAACCCAGTGGGAATGGAGAAATTCCAGGAGCTTCTCCCTCCTCCCCTCCAACGGGCACCTGCAGTGACACAAGTGCGGTGCCTGCGTGGTGCCTCCCAGCTACAGTCCACAAAATGCATGGGCTTGGGGGTTCGGAGAAAGTAAATGGTCCTGCACATCTGCACGCCGTGAAGATGCTGTGCATGCCCTCTGGCCAGCCAGTGCAGACCCCGCGGCACAGAAGCCTCTGAGGC